AGAAAAAAAAAAAAAAAAAGAAAGTGGAAAAAAAAAAGGGAAAAAAAAAATGTGCAAAAATCCCGCGTACCCTTCCATGAGCGATCGGGGCACACAGCGAGCCAGCTCCGTGCGTGTGTGAGGGGTGTGTGAGGGCTTTGCTGAGGCGGCTGGAGGGAATAGCCGTGAGGAAAATACGCCGATGAGGCCCACGCGGCGCCTGCAAGGCCTGCGGAGCGGCCGGGAGGCCTGGCTGCGTTGGTGCCTGCGTGCAGGGGATGTGTGTTTGTGCTGCGAGGCCTCTCCGTGCGTGCGTGGGCCTCCGGTGGGGATTTGTGCACCAGGGAAGCGCAAACCCCTGTGGAAGCGGTGGTGTCCCCCTGCTCCGTGTGTGCTCAGCCGTGTTGGGTGCTCTGCTGCAGAGGACGGGTCCAGTGCCTCACGCACGAGGCCCTCTGCACCTTTCTAGGGACCGGGGCACTACACAGTGTCCCCAGAGCTGTCTCTCCAGAGCATCCTCCCTCCCCATTGCGGAAGGCGAGAGGCCACCGCGGGTGCGTTGTGTTTATCTGAAACAAAAAGGGAGAGGACTCGTTTGCTTTGGCAGCTTTGCAGTAAATATGCGCTCAAGCTGGGGGGCGTCTGGCGAGCGGCGATCACACGCACATTCCCATCCAGCCTGCCTTTCCAGGCCATTCCCGATCCTGGCAAGAGGTGTCAGTAAGTGGGAGCTGGTGTTGCGGCTGTTCCATGCAGGAGCGGCACTGCAGGCCACAAGTGAGGGGTCCCCGTGGGTCCATACGCTCAATTTTGGGATGATCCCCCCCCCAAAAAAAAAGTGTCAAAATGACCTTGTTTCAGAAAGCTGCAGTGCAGCGTGTGAAACATTAACCCTCCCTAAAATCACACGTCTCTCACTGAGCTGGGCCCCATGGTGTCCCGCGTCCCCCTTCTCCTTGCTCTGGAGTGATCCGTGTCCCCAGGCTGATCCCTGCCACTTGCAAGCTCATGTAGGAGTCCGAAAATCAGAGCTCCAGCGTTCATTGTTTTTCCTCTGTCCCCATCATTTAAGTCGCTTCCCCTGTGCTGATCATGGCTCCTTGCAGGCCAGCCCCGCTTTCCCCGGCTGCCAGCTCCGGGATCTCCAGCCCCTTCCCCATTGCTACAGAAGCAGAAGGAAATCACGCAGCAAGGACGCGACAGGGCCTTCTCCAGCCTCCGGCAAAAACTCCTTCCCAGCAGCGAGCACTTAGCAGAAATGCTAAAAGGAGTTCGCTATTTGGATAAGGATTTTTTTTTCTAAGGAGCCAGGCGTATACATGGAATTTGCCGCTCAGGAAGTCGAACTAATTGTCGTTTCCTATAGCCCAACAGTTCTATCTTCTCAATGCCGGCTTTGTGTGTGCCTGCGTGCAAGGAGGAAAGAGGGAGCGAGTGGATACATTTATTCAATTATTTAAACACACAGAGCAATGCCGAGAGGGACAGAGCTCCCGACAGGAACCCTCCAGCTTCCCAGATTCCCCCTCCCGCCTCCTTGTAGACCCAGTCGAACAAGGCACTCGAGATTACCAAATAAAAGCGATTTTTATCTCCTCTGACCATCAACCGGGTTCTTTTACGACCTGGCCTCAGCAGCGGAGCCTTGTCCCCCTCCGCGCTCCCCCCGCGTCCCCGCCGCCTCCGGGATTTGGCTGGGTCCTGAGCAAGAAGCTGCCGGTGGATCCAGGACTCGGAGCAAAGAGGGGAGCTGGTAGCCGCTTGGCTCCTGCTCTGGAGCATTTTCTGCAAGATGCCACCAAGTCACCGGGCGATCGATTGATACCTCGTCCCGGGGGGGTTGGGGGGCGGTGTGGGGGGGAGAAGACCAGCTGTTGCGAGAGGACATGGTAAATCTAATAGGGGCTGCTGTCAATAGAGAAATGACAGGGAAGAAGAATTGGCTTCTTAAAATCTG